CAAAGCCAAAATTCCCTTGCAAGTGTAAGTCAGACTTTTGTATTATTATCTTTGCATATATAAACTGGGACAAGAACAGGCCTTGAAAATTTTCCTGTTTTAGCAAGTAGAGCAAGAATATCAGCTCTGCACAGTATATTTAAAGTGGCATTTAAGTACCAGCAACTGTAAGAACGTCTTTCTTTACAGTGCTTACAAGTGCTTTAGTTGATTCTTTTCTATAGCTCCCCCACTTCAAATTGCTTCAACAGAAGGCTGTTTGTGATTTTTCATTTCATCTCTGCACATGATAATCCAAACATAAAAATGTCCTTTGTGTATTATGGTTTGACTTGCTTGGAAATATTATAGGGACAGATAGCTTGTGCAAGAACTGAGAAAAACAGCAATGTTTCCCAAAAGGCAGCAGCCTCTCGTTTTTGTTCTTTTTTCACTTGAAGGGTGTTCAACTTTGTGAAAAGTCAGTCCCCAAGTAGTAATTGCAGTTGATATGATTGTTTGGGTTTTTTTTGGTTTTGTTTATGTGTTTGGTTGGTTGGTTGGTTTGGCTGGGGGTGTGTGGTGGTGCTGTGATTTTGTTTTACATTTTTTAAGGGGAAAGAGATGGAATAGGGACTAACTTAGCAGTTTTTCTTCATTCTGTCCAGTCATGTGGTCAAATTCCCTCCCATATTTTTACGCAGTTAACCAGAGGAATAAGCTCTTAAGCTGCTTAAAGACAAAAGGTCTGGTCTCATATGCAATAAGATTCTCTTTACCTTTCTGTAGTGCTGTAAATGCTTCTTAAATGACTGGTGTTATACAAGATTAAGCACATCAGAAGCACTGACTGGATTTTGTAATACTGGCAATCATAGTTTTACCTGTGTTGCTTAGCAGGGGATGAAGAAAAAAAAAAGCCAGGAGAGCTGTATGAGCATACTTTGTATCTTCTTCATTGATACCCTTCATGCCATTCAAATAGGACTCCAGAATACACTATTTTAATTAGCAAAGCTTGTTTTAAAATAAACAACACAAACACTTCTTGTAGAACAGTCACAGTCTCCCCTGCTAGACATACAGGCTTTTTGGCAAGATCACATTCAAACAGCATGAAATTCACCCCTGTTCACGGACCCCCAGCAGGCCCTCGCACCACTTAACTTCCACTTAGCTGCTCTGGATAGGAGCGAGTGGCCTGTGAGATAAGGACCAAGGTTCACTACAACTTTCCTCCAAAAAAAAGATGGTCCAAGTCCACATCTGTAAAGATCAGCAGTTTTACCACTATAAGGTCATAAAGGTGTAATATAGGCGTCATGCATAGAGTACATACCATATTTCAATTGAGTCCTGTCCTTGCATGACTTTGAGCCCCTGTGAAAGTACAAATGCACAACACACGTAATAAAGCCCTCAATCAATATGGTTTGCTGTGTTGTGCTGTTTACTGGGAACACTGCAAAGTCATTCAACTGACAGGAGTCAAGACAGCAGTGAGAAAAGTATCCTCATGAGGAAGCTCTGATAGGATTCCTTTTGACACATGGGAGAACATGAGATTTCCATCTTAGTTCAGTAATTGCTAAACAAACAAATCAGAAATCATTGATGCAACATTGACCTGAAGACCGAGGTCCTGTTCTCCCCTGTACTACACCCAGGGAACAACAGATGGTGAAAGGAAAACAGGGTAAGAACAAAACAATATGGAAATGAGGTTGGTTCTTTAACAAATGTCACTACTGCGGTCCATTTATGCTGACTGACGCTGGTTGGTTTTTCAGCTTTTCTTTTTGCGCAACAAAATCAGGCATGTCTCATCTTCCAGTCTTGATACCGAACTGTTGTTGTTGATTTTCTTTTGTTGGTTTTCTTTTCTTTTCTTTTCTTTTCTTTTTTTTTTTTTTTTTTTTTAAATCTACGTTTATCAACACTGATACATTACAGATCTTGTTAGTTATACTTTGAAGTCTGATCATGCAGAAATACAGGCAGGTGCAACTTAGATCTTATTACAGAATGGACATGGCAAGGTGAACAGTTGTTTTTGCTAGTTAAGATCTGGAGCTCTGTTACTGTTGTGGCTTAATGTATACTGGCCATAAGTCCCACTTACTCAATTTACTAAATATACATGATTCTGTATGTACACTAGAACCTCCAGCACCCACCTTTTCAGCATGTGACTGACTTAGGAAAAGGTCAGAGGTCAACCATATTTAAGCATACAGTGACCTTATCATAAAAGATTTAACAGAAATAGCATGTTGGATTATTACATATTAGTTACAGATAAAGGAGAGAAAAAAAATCAGTACAACTATTTACATTATAAATATCTTGCTTTCCAGAAGACAAGAATGGCCCTGTTCAGTGAAAATTAGCAAGAAAGACAGGCTTACCTGTCTGAAATAATAAGCATGGTAGAGATACATTTATTTCCCAAATTGGCTGTGTCTTCCTTCAATACGTGCTTTTCAGCTTTTCTCTCTCAGATAAAAGGCACTATTAGCCTCAGCTGAAGTTTTTCAACATCCCTTTGTTGAATCAAAACCTCTTTAAAACTCAGACTTGCCATGGGTCAATGAACCTGAACATAATTTAAACAGTTCACCTCTTGCAATCAATAGTTAATTTTAAATAAAGAAAATAAAAAATCAGTCCACACTGGCAAGTATACTCAGCAGATTCTACTAAATTCCACTGGACAGGTCTGTTTTCCAGCTTATCAGTGAAGATAACACATTCAGCATTTCCCTACCTCCCCCAGGTGTCTCACTAATTAAGACATTACATATTTGTGGAATAGTCAAGCCTACTGCACAATGAATTTCTGTTTGTGTGTGTGTGTGTGTGTGTGTGTGTGAAAGATTACCTTGAGCTTCCAATTAGTTAACTATGTCCTTTGTAAAGTGGTGGAAGTTCAAATAAACACAGCCATCAGATTCTTGAAGATGTGTGATTATGTTGCATTTACACTCTTTAGCCACACTGAGAACTTGGATCAAATATGAAGAGAACACAGGTTCAAAAAATCACCTCCAGATGCACTCCCTCTCTTTCCTACATGCACATACGGAAGCAAAGACAAACAGAAGGCTAAACTTAAATTCAGACTTTTTTGCTGGACTACTAAAAGTAAAGTCTAATTTTTCCCTGTAGGGTTTTTTTTTTTCATACTGCTGTCCCTGGAATCACAGAGAATTTGTTGCAGAATTCCTTTGCTGCTGCTGCTGTTGTTGTTTTTGCATGTTTGAATTCATACAAAATTTTGAAGTCTCAATAATCATGAAGAACCATAGATCTGAAATTAAAATAATTTTTGATCCTTTGTAACATAAATAAACTAGAATTGGCTGTTAAAACTTATTTTGAATTATAATATTCCAATTACATTTTACAATTATTTCAGGATACTCAAAGCACTTTTTTTTTTTTTAATAAGTAATCTGGGAGATTTGCTGAAATTGACTCTCTCAGGCAGTTCTAAAGTTAACTAGTAGCATATTTTTCATGAGAAAATATGTTGACATAAAAGAAATCACTGGTGTTTACTGACAAACATTAGAATATAATCCAAATCAGTTATGTAGCACTTCTTTTGAAAACTTCCTGAAGGTACTGCAACAAGTCTAATACCTTCAGGATTGTTAGCCCAAAGCTTGAAGGTAAAGCAATATATATGAAGATAAAACCATATATATGAATCTATTAGTTATAAGTTTAGACGAGTGATACAGTGACACAATCATCTGTCTTGTGTCATCTCTGGAGGCCAATATTATGCAGGAGCTGGTGATTTCCAGAGGAAAATAACCAGTGCATTAGGTAAATATCTGATGAGGCTTTTTTTTTTTCTTTGACATGTTACCACACAATTTAAGCTCCAATTTATACAATGCAAGCATGCTAAGATTTCTGAATTTATCTTTGCCATGGAATTCTATATAGCATGGGAGGATTATCAACCACAATGCGATTCATGTAAATCAGTGTGTGACCAACTCAAATATCTGAATTCTCCGAAGATCTGTTGCATTTTAATGGAATACAGTCAAAACTCACAAGATACGATTCCATCTGAAGACTGACTTCAAAGATTACAGAAATTTTTTGATTAAAAACATGCAAAACCTTGCATCGACTTGGAGTAAATCAATATCTCACCCTCATTCATCAGGGAGAAGGAAAATTGAAGTGTCTTTTAAGAACAATTATGACTTTTTTTTTCCTTTTCTAGTTTTTCATACTATCCAGAAGTACTCCATCTGAAAATAAAGCAGGAATATTTTGCAACAACGTTTCTGTCTACTTTGTCAATGCCATTTTTTGCAGCTAGTGCTCTGAGCAGCTACTGATAGTTGAGATGCTTCTGCCATTTTCCTCATCTTGCTGATGGCTATCTACATGACTTAAGCCACTTGGGACAGAATTTCTTCATGTATTCAGGCACTTAAGATACCAACAGGCTCTTAGGTACAATTTCAAAAATACCAAGGTGTCCAGCTGCCATTCATGCTGATGGAAGATATGCCACTTCTGGCACAGGCTCTCTGATTACTCCTTTAATACCTAAATATCTTGGAACATCTGTACATAGATCTCTGGCTTCCCAATTTCCTACATTTCTCCAGTGGTGGCAATTATGCTTACAACTGCAAACCTCTGAATGAGCTGAAAATTGTTACTCAAGTACTATTCAGTAATATTTTAAACAGAGGTAGATTTAAAAGATCACTGGCAAAAAATAACAGACTGGGGGAATAAAGGGGAATGGGCTTAAAGAGAAGGGTGTCAAAACCTTCTAGAATCTGAAAGTAAAAAATTGTTTACCTTAAGACAGCTACAGAACATCATCACTACAACCTTTTATTCAAGAGTACATGCATTCTTGTAAGGAATCAGCTGACAGCACCAACTTCTTGACACAAAGCAGAACAAAGGATACCATTCCTGTTCCATGGTCCCTACTTCGGTTTGAACATATAAGGACTAGAACTGTAAAGAGCTATTGCTTTTCTTCACTAATGGCTTTTTTTTTTGTTCCTAGTGTCCAATGTGGACAGCCCAAGTCTCCTCCCCCAGGTAAAGCTTCTCATAAAGGAGACTAATCTGAGGACAAAAAGAGATGCAATAATTCTTTTAAGCCCCATTTCAGCAAGGCACTTAAGCACATGCTGATGTTGATCACTGTTGAGCAAAGGACAAAAGCACATGCCAGTTGAAATTATGTGTGCATCCCTATAGTCTCCATTAAGTGTCTGTACAAGCATGGGTGCTTAATGGAATCAGGGCTTTTGGAAATAAAGCTATATAATTGCTGTGGGCTGATTTAGTGCTGATCACTAGGACATCTATGCTGACTGGTTCTTCACCCACACTTCACAAACCCAAACAAGGCTGAGTATCAGGGGACTAAGAGCGCATTTTTTGACTCTGATAGATGGAATATGGGAGATCTGTAAGCATCTGTCTACCATAAATGGGCTTCTCTGCTACTGCCTATGCCATATCTCCACAATATCACTGTCAATGAACTGTGATTATTCCAAGTTTCTATGGTCTACATTTGTGGTATTTTTGCAGTTTCTCTTACATACAGCTTTGCCTCTTTTAGACACCTTTTTTTTTTTCCGTTTAAATAAAACACTCAAATGCTGTGCACTAAGGAACGTAAAGCAGATACTAGTTACCTGAATATTATTAACAAATATCTGTGGCGAATTAAATCTGGAGATGATACATTTGATTATTGCTAAGAAGTCACCCTTGGGGTTATTGCCTTCATATCTACAAAGCGTTGCTGTTTACCTTTCAATACATTTATGATCACTGGCTTTGAAGTGAGAGTCACATCACTCAACAATGACTTTGTATTTCATGGCTTAAGAGAGAATATTGCTAAATATTTTCAGCAGTAGTAAATTATTGCTTTTACAGTTACTTTAGAACATTATTAACCTAATCTTGTTCTCAAAAAGATTTCTATAAAAATCTACCAAAAATATATCTGGGGAAAAAAAACACAAAACGTTTCCTACAGCAATTTTGAGACAGCTCAGGCCCACCAAGTCTGAAATTATTTCATATCCACTTATGTTTTACCTCCCCTCTTTCTCACCCTGGAGAGAATGTTTCTTGCTTTTGTTTCCTTCCCTTTGAGCAAAACTGGACTTAATACTCACGTTTTTTTCCTACCACAAATGGCAGGCTTGTAAGCTACCTAATAGAACAGTCTTATTTTGGTAGAATTTTGAATACATAAGAATCAATGAATTCAAAATATGCATTAATATAGTCAAAACAGTTTCTTTCTTTAACATTTGGAAAACATTGGAGTACAATTTAGCTCATTTCAGTTTACATGAAATACTCTGGTAAGAGGAGAGATGACTTGGATTTTAGTTAGCTTCCAACTCAGGTGATGACCTTGCACTGGAAAATGCTAATTGATGTTTTAGCTGTCAGTTGTTCTGACATTCTGGGTGGAGCTTTGCCATTCTCTGATAAAAACACTTGCTGTTACTTACCACAGCAAATCCTATGTATTATTACCTGGTAAAATCAGTCACTGTTGGGTTTTTCTGTCTAAACCACCTAAGACCCCTGATTGAGACCACTTCAGCCCAGCACACTAGCTGATTGATATCCTCTGCTATTACTCAGAATACAGGAATACTAGACCCACGCACTCTGTGGTTCCTTTCCATGTAACACAGCGGATAAGACTTCCTGAGGGAGTCAGATGGTTTGTCACAAGCAAAGGAACAGCCGAAAGCACCTAGAGAAGGCCTGTTGTCTTAGCAGTAGAGATCCCTGCAAGAGAATTATTTAAAGGGAAAAAAAACCCTCTAAGCTGCAAACATATACTAGAGAGGGAGTGGGCTGCAAATATTTAACCTATAAAGACATAGAAGTAAAATAAAAACAAGTTGTTTCATGACCTTTTGATATTTTTCTGCCTTTTTCCCAACCCTGTCATACCACTCTAACATACAAGCCACATATATTATGAATACATGTAATTCATAATAGCAAACCTATCTATGAACTAAGATGATAACTCACTTAACATTGGCAGGAAAAGCTGCTTACTGAGATAAAACCTTCTGGGCTTAGACATGCATAAAAACCCCATCATTTCTGTTCCCTGTATCTTGCAAAGATACATGTGCTTCCTTCTAACCTGGTTTTAGCTTGGCATATCTGCTTTAAAAATCATAACAAGTCTTAACATTCACGAACATTTTTCTATGAAGCTCTATGGCTTCTTCTTTCAATACAAACTGCTTATTATTTCAAAATATATATACAAATCTCAACAGAAATTTTGGTGCTACATCTTCAAGTGTCTGAGGGAGCCACAGTTCAATGTGGTTATTTACACTTCCACAAATCCTCACACAAGTTATGCAACCTCATCAATGAATAAACAAATCTAATATATACTGGTAATATCACAGATGTAGTTATGCAGTTCATCTGAAATGGGCCATTTACAGTGGTGAAGTGCACATTAAGTCGGTATGCAGATGTGCATGTTCCTATAGGCACACAGCTGCATGAGCTGACAGAATTCTATTGGCACCTGTGTGTATGTGCTATTGGTATATGAAGAACAATGCATGTGTATCCCTATCTGCATCACTGGGCAGAAGACGACAGAACAGAGAGTGAAGGCAGATACACACTTGTATGTTTGGGAGTGACTACTGCACACCTTGTCATGCCAGTGTGAAAAGGACAGCTGCAGGTTGCTGGTTTTGCAGCCATTAATTTTACATCTTATGGGGAGGGGATTAAAAAAAAGGATTTTTCAGTTCCTTTTTTCCTTGCCCCCAGGAAGCATCATTGGAAGAAGACCAAAGCAGAGCAACTATAAGTTAAATATACACTTGAGCTTAGCTGCATTACATAACTCTGTAGGAGAAGCAGGCTGAAAAGATTTTGCTTGTTTCACTTAAATCTTTGTATTTTATTTCTCTTCCTTTTCATTTCTTAACTCCTGTTAATTTTTCCTCCTAAATTACATCATCCTCTGAAGAACGCTGGGTTTCGCAGGCAGGCGGCTAGTCACCTGCAACAACCAAGGGGTCCCGCAGAAGCTTCCAGGCTGCTGTCTGTGTCAGACGCCAGTGTTTGATCCGTGGACATGGATGAGATGTCATTGACAGATGAGGATGGAGGGAGGCTTTCACTGCTGTTCACTGCTGCACCTGTGCTACGAAAATGAACACCAACGTGATTAAACCTGAAACCCCAGAACTTCTCACAGTTTAAAAAGCAAGGGATGCTTACTCTGTGGCAACAGGCGTGTAAGTACAAAGACCATTTTAAACGATGGCAAATATTAGCAGAAAATGGGCAATGCCAACTTTAGGCTTTGGGCAATATCAAACCTTTTACTGGGAAATTCTCTCTCTCAACACTCTGGCTTGAAGAGGCTTAGCTCTTGTTGTGTCTCTTGTGCCATTTCTTTTCCACAAAACACCCAAAAATCAGATGCCTGCTAGGATCACACAGGCACCACCAAGATGGTTTAAAAAAACCAACCCAATCCTCCATACTCTCTCATGTCTACATGTTATTAAACCACATGGCATTTTATGAAAATACTGATCAGTTCAAAGAAATGCATGTAGATATAGCCAAAACATGACTGAACTTAATGATATCAATGACTAAACAATATATTACCTTTCTAAATGTTTACAGTGCTGGACAGAAACCTGCCATAAAGTCATGGATACTGTCCCAGGAGTTGTAGAATCATAGAATGGTTAGAGTTGGAAAGGATCTTAAGATCATCAATTTCCAACCCCTCTGCTATGGGCAGGGACACCTTGCACTAAACCATGTCACTCAAGATTCCATCCACCCTTGCCTTAAACACTGCCACGGCTGGAACATTCACAGCTTCTTTGGCAACCCATTCCACTGCCTCACCACCCTCACAGTAAAGAACTTCTTCCTTATATCTAACCTAAATTTCCCCTGTTTAAGTTTGAATGCATTACCCCTTGTCCTATCACTACAGTCCCTAATGAAGAGTCCCTCCCCAGCATCCTTGTAGGCTCCCTTCAGATACTGGAAGGCTGCTATGAGGTCTCCAATCAAATGGAAAGAAAGAATTCCAGTAGGTTCAACTGACTTTTGATCAAACTGTTGCTGTGCAGCTTTCTTTGATGAATGCGCAATCAACTTAGCTAGGCAAAATAACTGATGAAATAGCTGCAGAAATTGTACAGGTGAATATTTTGTTACACTCTGTCTGATTCAGCACCATTGAATTCAATAAACCCTTCTATATTCCTTTCACCAAGTACTAACTCAGCCCCAGGCGAGTTTCTAGTTTCTGGAAAGTGCATTTTTATAGTTATTCCTAACTTTCAGCACAAAGCCAAGGGAAGCCACACCAAACCTGAATGACAGAATTAAAGAATTCAGCAGCACAAAGCAGTGCTTACACAGCAACACTCAGAAACCCAACCAGAAGCTGTCCTAGCCAACAAGTAATGCTTAATTTGCTATGTGAATCAACTGTCTGGTGCTACAACAGCTTGTTCCTGAAGGGATGTATGCCAGGTGAAACAGTGCAGAACTAAAAGAGGTACATTCAAAAGAGAAAGAGAGCCCCACGTATTAATTTGCGGTTTGGCAGGAAGCTTCTCACTGGTTACAGGGTTGAGAAAAAGAGCAAAAGATTAGAGCAGGTGAAAAATAACTCCTGGGATCTGTTCCTGGCTCTGCCGTTGAGTTGACGTCTGCTCTTTTAAGCCACGCATCAATTTCCCTGCTGTAAAGTAGGGATTCCTTCCTCAGAGGAAGCTTCCTATGAAGCCCTATTTAGCTAGCATCTATGAAAGTGCCTTTAAGAATCCAGCTGCAAAGTGGTACAGATGTGAGGGGAAAAAACTGAAAGGAGAAATGCAGCTTTCGCTGTTTCCAAAAATATGCCTTGTGTCTGTGTTGGGAATTTGCTCAGCTTCTTGTGAATCATGTCATTAGTAACTCTTGATATCCAGTGTCTCAATGCTTGGCAAGTCCATAAGCTGCTTAATTTAAGCTCTGCACATTACAGAAGAGGGCTGCTAAAGGTATCCTGTAGTTCTTGGGTGATAGCAACAAAACTGACCAAATAAGGCAGCATCTAAAAGGAAGGGAGGGAAGAATAAAAGAGCAATTTTCAGCAAGAAAGGGATTATTTAACAATCCTGAAGGTTGATGAAAAGTAGTGGCTATTCCTCACATGTATTTAATATTCTCCCAGGTATGGCCTAGACCTTTGGAATAGTGAGTATGTTGGTAAGGGGTACAGCATCTGAATTTATAAATAAAACATCCATTTAGCAATTCTGTGACACGGAAAACACAGAAAAGCACAAACTCCCATCTAAGATTAAATTCAATGTTTATGTGTACATGTGGACATGCATATATTGGTGTACATGCAGATGTTGTTTGCATGCATTGCTTACATATTTAGGTAACATATATACACACCTATACACAAATCTTTCCACTTAAATCAGCACTACTAGTGCCTTAAGCAGATAGGTTTGAGCACTGTGATCTACGAAAGACAGAAGTCAACTAGATAAAGAAAAAAAAAAAAGGCAGTAAATTTGAAAGATTCAAAGATGCAGGTACTGAAGTTCAAATGAAGGAAGACTGATTAGGGATGTGATAATGGAATTTACGTGAGCTAAGAGCTGCCAGAAAGACAGATGGAGGGAACTGTTCTCCATGTTCTCTGGAAACAGGGCAAGAAATAACAGAGTTAAACTGCAGCAAAAAGGGTTTAGGCAAGACAATAGGAAAAACTATTTGAAAGTCTACAAGGTAGCCTACAGAATTTTGTTTGGAATAGGCAGTAGAAGTATCTGCTGTGAACAGTTTCAGACACAGTTGATTTGTTGGACATGAGCATGAGGGGCACTTGAGGTTCTCCCAGGGCTTCACATTTCAAGCTTCTTGTCTTCACAGGACAAGTGGAAGAAGTAAGTGACCGACACTCTGATACCCCAGCACTCTGAGCAGCCTAAACTGTCTATGGACAACGGTTATCCTTGGTGGTGTCAACATCAGCTGTCTCCCTGAAAGCTCTACCAAGTAGCCACAGAAACTCCAAACATCTCCAGCTTGCCTGTAGTGATTATTTATACAGGCCAAATCTTAGCCTGCTGAATTCTTGCCAAGAACACTGAAAAGCAAGCAGTGTGTGTGTAGTCTCCTCCATTTCTCTTATGCTCAGAACTGGTGACTCGTGTCATCTCATTCTTCCAGTATTTCATTCAGTGGAAAAAGAATTAAGTCAGATGTATGGAGTGATGAAAAACAGGAAATCTGATGTTTTATTAAAAAGCCTCATCTGAGAGCATTTCTTAAGTAGTTGCAATACATGTTGGTGCCGAACAATCCAAAAACAGTCAAAGAGAAACAGCAGAAGACAGGCAAGAAATGTCAATTTTGTGTATTCTGAAATGTTTTATATAAACAACAAAAACCTTTCACATAGGAAAAATAGAACATAGAATACATAAAGAAATCCCTGGGTAGTAAATTCCTGAAACCAGCAACTACAGTGTTTCTTGATCATAAATGAGACTGCAAACACCATTCTTTGAGAGATGGTTAAGAATGAGGATTTATCAACACATTTGTCAGGAGCCCAGATTGGTGCTACAGAAGTTTGGTAAATTAATTCTGCAAGCCCTATGCTTTGTTTGCTACTCAGCAAGAACACAGTGGATTTTCCACAATATCTGATATCATCGATGTCAAAGTCCATGTGCAGTACTAATGCTCCAATTTTGTCATCCAGCACTCCATTAACTTCCTCCACTGTTGCCATGTTTCTCCTTGTCCTGCTAGTTATTAATGATGCATTCTTGTTCTAACATAAATTTGGCTCAGCAGCAAGTGAAAAATGAGAATGCAAAAAATCTCTCTGTGAAAATATGCAGTAAACACTGAATTAAATGATTCTGCTTTGAGGAAAGGCTTTGTAGAAGGTAGTTTTACTGATAAACACTACCAGAATACTGCTAAAAAGCTGGGCACTCCAAGTCTGCCAATGAAAGCATACCTTCACAAATATGTGGGAGTTGGAACTAGATGATCTTAAGGTCCATTCCAACCCTAGCTATTCTATGATTCTATGATTCGATGTATTTCTGTGTACTGGCAGTCACAGGGTGCATTTCTGTGAAAAGATTGCTGATGTGAATTTTCCTCAGTTAAAATGTAGTTGTTAATTTATTTTTTGACAGGACTTAAAGAATCAGTGTTTGAAGACGACTTTCCCTTCTCACTGAGGTGTCAATCAAGTTTGTCAGCAAGCTGATCTAATGTTATCAGACTTCTGAAAGGATGAACTACCAGAGTAGATACCAGATGCTTATACGAGGGTGGGAGGGGTGCTGTATCACATACATGTCCAGCAGGTGGATACTTGCTAACATCACCAATTTTGTATATCAATTAGCAAAGTATTAATTCAATTATCCATAAACAGTATATAATAATAATCTGAGGCCTCCCCACCCACAGGAATATAATCTATAACCACAGATCTTTCCATAGAAAATGCCAAGAAAACAATATCTCAAATAGCCAGAAAGACTAATTTTTAAGTATGAACATGACACTGGAGCACAATTAAATCAAGGTTATCCCATTAGAAGCACTGGATTTCACAAGCACTTCTAAATTGGTCTACATAACTGCAAGTGTAGCCAAGTACTTCAGCTATTTCCATTCTCTTTTTGTCAGTACAGAAAACATGTCAAAGTTATTCAATGGGGCTGAGTACCTGAAGGAGAAGGCTGTCCTTTTACTACACCATTTTTAGTCTTTTCTTCAGAGTTCATTACTTCTTTGTAGATAAGTTCTGGAAGAGAGAATTGCAGCGGTTACAAACAGGAACCAGTGCCTATGATCAGGAACAAAACAACTATCACAAACCACAGTACTGTAGCATTCCGATGGGCATCCTAGGTCTGCTCTACTTTGTCTTCACAATTCTGACAGCTCTACTCACCTAAGACCTCTCTCTTCCATTCCCCTCCTCTCCTATCATCTCTTTTTGGAGCTGAATTGAGACAAACAGGGTTAAACGCAACACTTATTGCTTAATGCAACATTGTCTAGAAATAAAGCAGCATGGTAATACAGTGCTTTTTACTGTAGCTAAAGTTCTGATATATCATGCTGCTGAACAGTATTCTGATCTCCAGATGATACCCTTATATTTCAATGAAGCAGTGCAATCCGCACCTCCTGTGTTAACATAGATAATGCTAGCCCTCAGGACATTTCTTACATCTTCACTACCAAAGCACCAGTTTGTAGGACTAGTGTCAATTCTTCATATCAAAGGTATTCTTTTAGTTTTACGCAGATACTTGGCAGTGGGACACGGCCACTGAAATACCCTTCCCATATAACTCTAAACTGTAATTACCTTTCCATTCCTCAATTGTATGTTCTCTTTCATCCAGCTGTTTATCATATATCTGAGGAGGCGGCTGCAGGACAGAAAAAAAAGCTATTTATTCAATTGTTAAATTGTAAATAATTAGGAGTAATTATTTAAGTAAAGGTAAATTCTCTTTTCCCTCTTAATTATCTATCCTGTACATGAAAAACCACATGAAACACACTGGAATATTAAAGGGATTAACACTTCTGGACTTCAACTCTTTATGCAGAAGAAATCAATATACAACAATCTTTTAAACAAGAGCTACAGTTGCAGTTGAAATAGAACTCAGGTCAACAATGCCATTATGCTTAACACTGAGACCAGAAACCACATGCAGATTGTTTGCACTGGCAGAGAAAGTACTGTCAGAGTAACAGACAAATACCAACCCTGATTAATTAGTAGTAAGATTACTATATTAAAGTTGCCCTTTAGACATCATACTCATCATACTCACTGTTATACTACTTCTCAGATTAACTCTATTTTGAAGTAAATCTTTGCCAGAATTTCTGATCCATATTCCAAATTCCCAAGCTTTTCAGTATATATATTTTTAAATAAATCTGCTTTGCCCAGAAAGGTGTGTTTGGTTTGAGTTTTGTTTGTTTATTTGCTTGCTTGTTTGTGTGTTTTACTGTATTTTTTAGTTGATGAGTGTTACAGAAGTAGCAGATCCTGGAATTTATGGAATTTACTGAGACAAAAGCAACTAGAATTTCCAAGAGCCTAAATACCTGCTTTCATTGGGCAACTAAGCCATGTGTTGTCTCTTCTGATGTTAGCTGCCAAATACAGCAGCCAAACAAGCTTCATCATCCAAGGTAAGAGTATCTAATGAAGATTAAAAGATCCACAACTCTAACTTTCCTCTGACTTACATCTTGGGCACTTGGCCATTGCATCCCTTTCAAAACATTCTCCTGTTAAATGCAAATTTACCAAGCTGCTTTTTGATTCACTTAGAAGTTGAGAATTTACTCTCAAGACTCTAACACCATTAGTCCATTAAGCTATTTGCATACTAACAGATACAACTGAGAAACTGATGTAATATGGGCCAGGAAAATGGTATGATAGCTGAACTGGACAAATGTACTGAAAACAAAACAGCTTCTTGTATAGTGACATTTGTACTGGGCTAAGGACAAAGGAATTATGTGAAGTTGTGGAATGCCAAGTCTCATACCTGAGAAAGAGCAGAGAGAACCTGAAACGTATACCATGAGTTAACATGAATGTCAGGCCTCAGCAGGGGTACCTGAAGTATTGCTATGTCAGTAAGGTAAGACACAATCACAAAAGAAGTCTGAGTCCAAAACTAATGCATCTATTCTTTTATTCAGCATTAACAACTCTTGTTGGACCCTTCCAATGAGTTTTGAAGTTTAAGATATATTCAACCAAAATGGGTAAAAAACTCTATTGGGACTTCATGTTTCTGATGTCTCTAATATCAGTGTGTTGAAAGCTACGGAAGAGTGTGGATGAGCTCACCATTGACCCTTGGGATGCGGTAAGCTTGCTCCATCCCTCCAGCTGAGCCTGCTGCACTACTGCTTAGCTACTCAACCAGCCCTACAGCGTGTATTTCGTAATGGGGGAAAACAGAGAAAGCTGGCAAAGACAAGGAAATCCTGGGGTGTTAAGAGTTCACAGGAGATTTACACGGCCTGTCAGTTCCACTACGCAGCTGGCTCTTGGCTTTTCATGGTAGCAGTAGAGGAGGCAAGAATTTCCTGCAAGTCCCTTTCTTTCTTAAAGCTTCAGGGAGGGGCTTACAAAAAGCACAGGCTATGGGTAAAATAGCTCTTACCAAGTGTAAACACTTTTTTTTACACCTTCCATAGAAAAACAGGAAGGAGTATTTCTCCCCCAGGCAGAAATAAGAGGATAGTTTCCTTCACTGCTTGAATTCCCAAACACAAATTACAGAATCAAGAGGAACAAGCAATCAGATGTACATTCCTATCCTCAGTTCATAGAACCATAAAACCCTTGGCTTATGTGTCTTCTAATTTATTTCAGCTATGTCTTAAGCAGGCACAATTGGCTAATAGACAATAAGAAAAGTAGCAGTAATTATTTCCTAGATTAAAACATTCTGGAAATGAAGACATTTTCCAGGAAGAGAGTCCAGAATTACCTCATTTGTTACCAAACTCTTTTTCTGTTATGAAAACAAGGGAGAGCAACCAAACTGTACTTCACACACCACAGGATGGCAGAAACTGCACCTGTACAGTGCTACTGCTGTACTAGTATTTCTACTGCAGACCTTTATTTGTGAGCTGGCATAACCCGCAGCAATAAAACATGGCTCTCAGCAGGAATGCAAGAGCCAAGGGTCATAAATACTCAGTGTGATAATGACATGTATAAATTCCTCCTCTTCACACAGGCAGGATCTCTACATCTCTAAAGCTTGTGCAGAGCACAGGTGAATGGCACTCTGCTGAAAGGCTAAATCAGTGCTCTTATGCTGGAAGAAGTGAAGCTTTCCCATCTGAATTGCCTGATATAGGTAAATGAGTCCTTAAGACGTGTTTTCATTGATTCAAGGCAGAGCTGAGCTGAGAACACCACAAGTTTCAGGAATTCATTAATCTTCCCATGATTCTCATCAATCTTAATGAGAACCACAAAACTTAATACACTGTTATCAACCTACAGGCTGACCATCGATTCTTTGCTAATTTCTTTGTTCTGTTGTTTTTTTTTTAACCAGTTTCTAAAATTAGAGGGAGGAAGAGAGGTTTTTAACACAAATATCGTATCAATGGAGCAGACAGAGCAGCTGCCATACCTGGGCACCCAATTACAGTTTTGTTGCAAAGGTTGGTCTAAAAATGGCTTTGCTTCCTGACTCAAATGCCATAAAAAATGACTGATTTCATCATTATGATTTTTTCTAGGTGGATGCAGCTGCAGTATTATAGACATTCCTATAAACTGTACAGGTTTTAGAAAAGGTATGAGCTAGCATATGTCTGGATGAAGCCTAAGGGTGGCAGCATCTAGCTTCAATTTAAGGTAGCCATTTTCTCCCCAAAGATTTATCTGTAAGCAATTGCATTGGCAACAATAGCAAAGAATGGAATCTATTTTTGGATGCAAAAGAGAAGGAATTCATTAAATTTTTCTTGTACATGTTAGAATAACAACTTGTTGTTTCAGTGGTGTTTCAGTGGCTTTTCTATTTTACAAATTGATCTAAAAAATTTTTTTGCATGAAGTTTACCATTCACTGAGAATAAAAATTACCAAAAAAAAAACCCCAAAACCAAACAAACAAAAAAACACACCAAAAAAAAAAACAACAAAACCCAAACAGAAAATATCCACATGGATGTTCTTCTAAACAAAACCAAAACAATAAAAAACCCCAACAAACAAACAAACAAAACCCAAACCCACAAAAGACAGTGTTTTCATGTGGTTAGGTAAACATCAGGAGACTACTGGACTCGTTACAAGTAGTCCTTTCTAATACCTTTCTAATGGGAGGAGAGGAAAAGCTGTACACTAAGGAAAAAACACATGTTGGGGCTGATGTATTCTCACTTTCTCAAAGCAACATGGATTAGTTTGTATGCCACTGCTAGAAAGCAAAAAGGAGTGGGCTGGAGCTCACACTTGAATAAATCCTGCCATCTCTGTCCTTGCCTCTGCAGAGCTAGTGTCAGCACAATGAAGACCTTGGGAAGAGTTGTTTTCAGAAGGCTATGCAGGGGTAAGGCTTGACTCTGCATCTGTTCCGAGTCACTGTGTCTGGAGCAGTAGTTGCAAAATGGCATATAAAGCAACAATAAAATTAGCAATATATAAATGGAGGCAATGGAGGCTGTAAAATTTAATGGTGGGAGATTAAACTATTTAAATGGCTTAGATGCTCATAATAGGTGAATATAAAAATTCCTTTGTGTTTTGCTACAACCTAGACTGTGTTACTGATACCATTTACATATTTATTTTTGCAGTGCAAGATGAAGTGTACTAGTGGGCTGTTGCCAGAGGCCTAAAGTCCCTTTAGCTAGAGAGCAAGGTGTATAGGGCCACCTTGGATCTTGCTCAGGGACTCCACAATCGTCTGGCCATGATCTCTACTATGGATATGGAAAAAGAGATGCCTCTGTGCTCATTCATTACTTGGACTTTTTGCAGAGCCTTTTGTAAAACTCCACAGGTAGTGTCCATGAAAGACACTGTGGTCTGAGCTGTTTCTGAGCAGCTAGACTGTAAGGATACCATGCATCAGGAGTAAAGATTACTTGGCTACAAACAGCTTGCAGGTACATACAACAGTATGCTGGAAAAAGGTTTTGTTTGATTTGGAAAAGAAAAAGAAAAAACAGAAATGCCTCTTTCTTCTCTAACCAGTACTTCTCACTCACATTAACAAAGAAAAATTGCTGCAGAAGCTGTACTCAGCTTCCATAATTAATCAGCTATAAATGGATAGATGTCACTCACTAGAGGGAATATCTGTGCAAATAAAGCAGAGCTGTAAACTTCTTTTGTGATACAACAGATGGGAAACATGGACTTCTAAGCAGAAAACCAAACACTGTAACTGATCACTAAAATATCCCTGCTGCAGATCACCAAAGAGTTTAGATACAGTATCTTTACACAAGGGGCTGAGCAAGAGAAGAGAATAACAGAAAAGAAGCACAACCTGACAGCCTTGATTTTGCTATGAAGTGTCACATGTAGTGAAGGTGACACCACCTTTGAAGTGGTCACAGAGCTCTCCAGAAGCATTTGTCCTTTGTCATGGATGCTGAGCGCTCACAGGAAAAATAAGAGATGTGGTTCTTTTCTTTTTTTCTCATGACAAACTATAAAGATTTAAAGTAATTGGAACAGATTGTATGTAACAGCTGGTCACAGATAGTTTATACAAGGCTAAGGCAATACAGCAGCAGTTTCTATCCTGGATCTTGGACTGAGAACGACAAACTAAGTTCTGCTCACAAGCATTGTAGGAAACAGCATCAGACTAATAAAAGATAACACGCAAATTGGCATGCAGAGAGAAAT